TGTGTGTTCCTGGTGCCTTCAGAGGCCAAAAAAAAGGGTGTTGGGATCCCTGGAACAGAAGTTACAGGAAGTTGTGAGCCATGAACAGGGTGCTGAGAACAGACTCTTGGCCTCGGTGAGAGCAGTAAATCTTTCTACTACTGAGCCACATCATCTACATCTCCAGCCCCCAATTTATTAATCTTATTTGAAAATTAAGGAGCTAGATATGATGGTGGAGGCTTATTATCCTAGCATTCAGGAAACTGAGGCAGGAGGATTACTACGTGTTCAAGACTAGTGTTGGCTACAGAGTGGGTATCAAGACTCCTAGGACCGTACAGCATTATTCCCACCAGCAGTGAAAAGGGTTCCTCCTGCCGACATCCTCACTAACATTTGCTGATTTCTCGATGACAGCCGTTGTGAACCTGGCGAGACAGAACTCAAGGTGGTTTGGGTTCTCATGGCCCCGATGGCTGGTGAAATGTTTGCTAGCCATTTACATCTCTTCTTTCCAGAACTCTCTTCAGCTCTATGGCTCATTTTCGTACTGAGTTGTTTGTTTTGTGATGCTTTTGTTTCCAGTTCTTTGTATAGTCTAGATATTAATAGTGTATGGGATGTAGAGCTGCCCTCAAATCCAATCAGAAAGCAGTTGGTTCCCCTCCCCCGCCCCGCCCCAGATTGTCGCGGCACCACTACACCAGGAGAAACAGCTTCTTGGCAAAGTGAAGTGGCTCTAGGTAAGATACTCAAAAAGGTCTTTAAAAAACTATTTAGTTTATACTCATAGACGAATGCTGCCGTAAGCCGTAATCAAATAGGTGTCTCTCTGCCGTGAGCGGCGGGGAGTGCAGAGACACGTAACTGTGCAAGGTGCTGAGAATAAGTGAATATGGAGTGCTCAACCATAAAGACGTTTATTCCGCTACCTCTAAAATGCATGAAACATTGTATGAGAGGGGGCAGAAAAATTGTAAGAGCCAGAAGATAGGAGGGAGGGCTATGGAACGCTGTCTTCTGGGTGGGATAACAGCCATTCCGATCATCCACGCCATGCAACTGTGCTTATCATCCACTGAGCCTGGACTGGAGTGGCCTTGTCAACAGCCCACCACCACTGGGGGAGGAGCTCAAGGGGCCCTCAAAAATAAAAGAGTTAAGACAAACTATTTTCAAAGGAATTTTCCAAAATGATTTCTATATTTTCATAATGTAATTTTTATACTATGGCATCTCTATTGTTACACTTTTATTTTGCATTATCTGTCACTTTAGCGTAGTATATTTTACTTGTAGTCATAAAGGGGAAATGAGTGTTTCACACAAACATGAGTAGAAAGTGTCAGGTTTAATGAGCAAAAAAAATTGATATATAGCTATAAAATAATTAAATTCTAGTGTTTTCCACTAATACACTATACATATCACTTTATTATTATTTTTTTAGCTTGTAGCAGCACTGAGACTGAAACACAGGTCATTGCTAACCTCTGAGCCATACCCTTAGCCCCCAGACACTGCTTTATTGTAGCTGATTATTTTAGAAGTAAATCTATAGTCAGTTTGCTTTTCTCTCTGGTGTAGCATGTAATAACATTTAATATTCTTTTGTATATATGAAATAATTATTCTTAGAACTTTTTTGAATGGGCATGTTACTATATCATTCTTTTCATTCATTTTTGTACATTAGAATTGCTTCCTCTGTCACAGATTATCTTTAACTAAAATAAAACTTGTAATATTTTTATAATCACTACCACCCCATTTGCTTGTTTTGACTAGGAATCTCAAATACACATATTTTTTTCTTTTTTTTAATTTAATTTAATTTTATTTTACAATACAATTCAGTTCTACATATCAGCCACTGATTCCCTTGTTCTCCCCCCTCCGGCCCCCCTGCCCTTCCCCCCAGCCCACCCCCCATTCCCACCTCCTCCAGGGCAAAGCCTCCCCCGAGAACTGAGATCAACCTGGTAGACTCAGTCCAGGTAGGTCCAGTCCCCTCCTCCCAGGCCGAGCCAAATGACCCTGTATAAGCCCCAGGTTTCAAACAGCCAACTCATGCAATGAGCACAGGACCTGGTCCCACTGCCTGGATGCCTCCTAAGCAGATCAAGCCAATCGACCCATTCAGAGGGCCTGATCCAGTTGGTGACCCCTCAGCCATTGGTTCATAGTTCATATGTTTCCATTCGTTTGGCTATTTGTCCCTGTGCTTTATCCAACCTTGGTCTCAACAATTCTCGCTCATATAAACCCTCCTCATTCTCGCTAACTGGACTCCCAGAGATCCACCTGGGGCCTAGCCAAGGATCTCTGCATCCGGTTCCCTCAGTCATTGGATGGGGTTTCTAGCACGACAATTAGGGTGTTTGGCCATCCCATCACCAGAGTAGGTCAGTTCGGGCTGTCTCTCGACCATTGCCAGCAGTCTGTTGTGGGGGTATCTTTGTGGATTTCTGTGGGCCTCTCTAGCACTTTGCTTCTTCCTATTCTCATGTGGTCTTCATTTACCATGGTCTCCTATTCCTTGTTCTCCCTCTCTGTTCTTGATCCAGCTGGGATCTCCCGCTCCCCCAAGCTCTCTTTCCCTCGACACTCGCCCTTCATTACCCCCACTCATGTCCAGGCTGTTCATGTAGATCTCATCCATTTCTCTGTCATTGGGCGATCTCCGTGTCTTTCTTCAGCAGACAACCAGCAATATTTTTAAGAAGACAGCAGAAATGAAATAAGAGCCAAAAAATTCTAAAACTGAAAAAAAAACTCAGATTAGGAACACAATGGAAAAGCTTGTAGCAGATGAGATCTTGCTAAAGAGAGAAATAAAAAACAAAACTAAAGAAAATAAGTCAGAAGAAGATATCTTGATTGGCACATAAATGGGCAAAAGGTTCTGAAGAGATGGAAGTCTTGAGTTGAGAAAGCAGAAAGCAAGCATATATGAGCACATGTGACATGTAAGTGGGGGGATCCCATAGGGAGAAATGTTTAAGTAGGGGAAAGGAAGGGGAAGAGAAATGGGGGGCAGACAGCGGGAAGGGACAACCAATGTAAGGATGGATGAAAAAGCCGTGAGGAACCCTGATACTTGGTAAGCTAATTTAAAAATAAAGCGAGGTGTCATGGCACTCATCTTTTCTTAATCCAAGCATTCCAAAGACAGAGGCAATTAGTTAGTTAATTATATGTGTTTGAATGGGAGATGCCTTGCATGGCTAGATAAAGCTGATCTCCGATGTCATAGGTTAGTGAGTGAAAATTTCAGTGCCAGCGTGGGCTACCTCCCTATGAGTTGCTGGACAGGGTGCCCCCTGGGGTCTCTGAAACAATATAGGCAATTACCACTGCTGCCAGCTGTCCACCAAAATGAGACTGTAAGATCCCATTGCCAAAGGCACTACGTATTCTCAGCCCAGGACATACAGAAATCAAGTTGGAACGAAGCTAGACGCTTCCTCCCACAGGCTATACTTTACAATGCTAGAAGGTTCTATGCAGGCTGCCTGCTAGTGGGGAGGTGTGGGTGGGGCGTTGTCAACAGCTTAACACAGGTGTGAACCCTGTGTCCTACACTCAAACTGCCAGGCAAGAGATGTGGTTACTTGTGCATCAGTGGTATGGCAATTATGGGGGCAACCAATAACTTTCTGGTTGGAATTGAGGTCCACTTCACAGTAGGAAATTCATGCCTTGCACTGTAAAATCGGTCAAGAAATATAGGTCCTACTGAGGAAGCCACTGCTACTGCTTTGCTAAATGGAAGGATGTGCCTATCGAATTGCCTTCTAAATCATATTTATGCCTATGTATTAATGTAGCTGTCAGCTTTAGTCAAGAGACAGTAACTTCAGAGATGCATTACTGATCAAAGCAACAGCTGAATGCTCAATCATAAGTGTGACATCTATATCACCCTCTCCAAGATGCAAGGAGCACTGTGGAAGAGGAGGCAGAAAAAAATATAAGAGCCATGGGAACGAGTAGAAAGTTGTGGAATGCTATCTTCCAGGCACGCTATGGCTGCTGCACTCTCAAATTCATGGCAGCTAGAATTACCTGCACAAGATCTGCACAAATTTGAGACAAATCCAACATCCCCCCCATTCACAGAGTAGGGAGGAACTCACAAGGGCCCACCCCTCCCGGAGGATCTACAAGTAGCTACTGGTTGCTAGGGGAGAAAGGACATTTGTAAGTGCCACTGATAAGGTGCCAGGCTCTTGTAAGCAGGCCTAACGAAAGTTTTTGGATCATAAAACAACAACAAAATTAATGTAGAAGGGAACTAGATGGGAAGAGAGAGAGGACCAGAAAGGGGGTGCATGATCAGAGTATCGGGGGTGATATCATCAAAAGACATTGTATGTGTATGTTAATGAAACTGTCATAACGAAACCCATTGTTATGAATAATTAATATATGCTAATAATTTTTCAGATAAAGCAGCACCTTGAGAGATGATGGCGGAGTTTTCCAAAGCTGTGTCAGACATGGATTTACAAATGGAAAAATAAACTAAAGAAACTCGGCCGAGAAAAGAGAGAACTCTGGAAGTTTTCTTACATCAAGGACGTCTCTGAGAGTTCTTGCTTGAACAGAGGATGACGTCATTAAGCAAGAAAAGACGAAAGAAAAGGAAAAACAGGTTTGTTGAGTTTGAGAGGCTGTGGCATGAAATAGAAATGCTGAGCTCCATATTGGATTTAACAACCAGGAAAACATAACAATAGTCCATTGTGTTTAAAACACTATCAATTCTTCTTCTCAATTTCAGGAATAGCCAAAGCTGCAACTATTTGCAAAAGTGCAATCAAGACTTTATTTCAGTAATCCAGCGTCCTCAGGACCCCTCCTGCTGGAGAATCAACACTCCATCTCCAAAGGGTAGCTCTGCAAATGGACAACAAGGGCAAGATGCACAAAAGCTGGCGACTGTCACTTGTCAATGCTGTTCAAGTATAATTAGTGACCCTGTGAAATCTGTGTGGAAGAAACATCACCACAAGGCAACGTGCTGTATAGCATTTAATGCCATGGTCCAGCCCACCGTTAAAAAAAAAACTACTGTACATGCAAGTTATAAGTAAAACATGGTATTTCTGCATGACGTCACCACTAACAGATTGTGTCACAGTCTACAGCATTGCCTTCGTGATCATCATGAGGCTTTTCCTTACATATAATTATTATGCTTAATTATCACACAAAGGAATAAACACTGGCTATTATTTTCTAGTTTTGTTTTTTTTACTTAGAAAACAGTGCAATTTTCATAATAAACTCTGTGGCCAGTGGATGAAAGGACACAGCATTCTTTCTTTACAAATGACATGGTCGCCCAGGAGTTAAAGATCATGATGATGTGACAGCTATTTTTCTTAGGTACTTTATGCCAGGAACTGCTCTAGGGGACTTAAATGGATTCATGCAATAAGGAGATTTTTTTTTTTTTTTTTTTTTTTTTTTTTTGGTTTTTCGAGACAGGGTTTCTCTGTGTAGCTTTGCGCCTTTCCTGGAACTCGCTTTGGAGACCAGGCTGACCTCGAACTCACAGAGATCCGCCTGGCTCTGCCTCCCGAGTGCTGGGATTAAAGGCGTGCGCCACCACCGCCCGGCACAATAAGGAGATTTAACAACAACTGATAACACAAATTATATACAAATAATCAAAAGAATACTATTTAATGGGAATCAGCCATTCTCTTTTAAAATCTAACATTAGTCTTTTTATCAAGTACATTATAACTCCTTAAGTATAACAAGGGACCAGAAATAAAGTGGGACAAACTGGAGAAATATGATACTATAATATACTACAAGTAAATCTGTATTTTGTCATCACATCGAATTTTTCTTCTGAAAATATAAACAAAATTTTCAAAGCAGGAAAATAATTTTATTTTCTAATAACCTCTTATATGCCACCATTGCATTCTGAATTATGTCTGAGAGTTTCATGTTATTGCCTTACACAATCACAGATGAATTTTCCAACACCAATTACAGGCCCGGTTGTCTGGGACATTTTGACTGCAGAATTTCTCTGTGAAACTACGGCTATCTTTTTATTTTCAATGAACATTCCAGGTACATTCCTTACAAATATTTTGGGCATAACATTATGCCATCTGACCACACTTCCTGTTCTACTCACTGTCAGAGAAAGCTGGCCACACACGTTTGCTTAAACAAGACTCTTTCCAGAGACCAGTGGCTAAAACTCTCCTGAGACCACTTTTTAGATTACTAAATGTTTTAGGGGCTAATAGTTAACTTGGGACATTATTTGACCACATTCTTGATACTGTAGAGGGTTTAAATTTAATAGCCAACTCTTCATATACATCTTTTGTTTTGAGACATGGTTTCTCCGTGTAGTTTTGGTGCCTGTCCTCTATCTCGCTCTGTAGACCAGGCCAGCCTCGAACTCACAGAGATCTGCCTGGCTCTGCCTCCTGAGTTCTGGGATCAAAGGCGTGAGCCACCACCACCTGCTCCATATACTTCTTTTAAACCATTCCAGGAAACTGAGCTATCTTGCTTAGCTTTATTCTTTGTTTTGTTTTGTTTTTTTTAACCAGTCTGTGACTTTTAAAGAAAAAAAGCTATTGATTCACCAAATTGTTTGGTCCATCAGGTAATATAGGACCTTAATGGTTTTGAGTCTAGAATTTTATAAGTTTGAATCCCCTCTGCCCCATTAGTCTAAATATTTACACACACACACACACACACACACACACACACACACACGCACGCACGCACGCACGCACGCACGCATCCTTGACCAAACTTGGAATTGCCCACAAAACAGCTGATTCCATTTTCAGTGTTTGTCATTGAAAATGTCCCCACACTGAGCTGAACCCTTCTAAAACTCCCACTCATCTGCCAGTCTCAGGCTTGGCCCTGAGAGGATGACCTTGGGCAGGTTATCCTATTCCTTTAGCGTCCCTAGCTGTAAAATGGGTACAATAACTACATGTAATAGGGTGTGGAGGTTAAGTAAGTATGTTCATAAAGCACCTGGCACAACAGAGAGCCTCCGTGAGTGGTTCCCTTCATTAGGTTGGGGAAACTCTCCTCTGCACGAATATCTTAGGAGATGTGCTGACAACCACCGTGTACTCTTCTCCAGGCCAAAGACGGAATTCCTTCAAAGTCTGTTTGAGCAACAAGCTACTCCTTATTTTTCTAGCCATTTCTTTCTGAATAACTAGTTCTTTGAGAGAAGGCTCGAGAGCCAACAGCCACCCTACCCCACCCCACAAAAAATATGATCAACTATTTTATCAGATGAGAGCAAGAGCCGTTCTCCTATCTCTGGAAGAAGGCATTTCTCTTTCCTCGGCTGTTGACTTAATCTCCTCTCCCCACTACCTCCAGTGTCCCATGATTTGGCCCCCTGGCAAGCCGAGGTATGGGAAAGGCAATGGGTATGGATGCTTCTGGTTGTAAGCTGAGGAGAAGCTGGGCGTTAGGATGTTTCTGAGAAGTCCTCTTCTTCGTTCCGGTAGGAGAACGCCTCTTCCCCGTCAAAGGAAGCTTCTCTCTGTTGTCTCCACCCGCTCCTCTGGGCCTCGCAATTCTGGATGGTGGCTCCGTACGACATCTTCTTTCTGGGACTTACAATAGCCTCATGGTTGAGTTCTGTCTCCTCGGCTAATTCATCTTGGTCAATGATTCCACATTTCTCCTCAGAGAGACTCTCCGGGTCAGCCCAGTCCTGTTTCTCCCCAGAAGCGAAGACCCCGTAGAAGACGACACCGCTGTAGTGTACCAGGGCTGCTATGAGGAACACGTTCTGCCATTCCTCCCGGGTCTAAGAAAGGAAACAGCCAGTTACTGCTTTAAGCAGAGAGATTACCGGTGAGCCCTAGAGTCCTTTCCTGGGATGAAAACACCCACTCCTCAAAGGCTACAGTGTGCTTCTGGGTAGACATATGATAGAACCAACATCCAGAATCTATACTTAATTTGAGTGCTTGAAAATGAAAATGGAAGACTACAATGAATGCTAAGATTATATATATATATATATATATATATATATATATATATATATATATAATATATAATGTGTGTGTGTGTGTGTAAAAAATACAGGTCACGTGTAGTTGAGGAGATGGCTCAGGGGGTTTAAGTGCCCTGGATGTTCTTACAGAGGACCCAGGTTCAATACCTAGCACCCACATGGCGGCTCATGACTATCTGTAACCCCAGCTCCAGGGGATCTGATGCCCTCTTCTGGCTTCCATGGTATATATGGTATATGGTATACATATACACAAGCAGACAAAAAACTCACTCACATAGAATAAATGTAAATATATTTTTAAAGATAAAAATAAGTTTAAAAACTACAAAGGGCTGGGCGGCGGTGGCACACGCCTTTAATCCCAGCACTCAGGAGGCAGAGGCAGGCGGATCTCTGTGAGTTTGAGGTGAGCCTGGGCTACAGAGTGAGTTCCAGGGCAGGCAACAAAACTACACAGAGAAATTCTGTCTTGAAAAACAAAAAACAAACAAACAAACAACAACAACAACAACAACAAAAAGGTTCAATAAAAACTAAGCACCACACCCTTGAAGATTCAGGATTTATAGACTATGTTTATGGGTGTTTGTCTGTGTAACACATGTGTGCCTGGTACCCATGGAGACCAGAAGAGGGCATAGTGGTTAAGCGCCCTGGATGTTCTTATAGGGGGCCCAACTTCAATTCCCAGCACACAGAGGTGGCTCACAATCGCCTACCTGTAATGTTAGCTCTAGGGAATCTGATGCTGGAGTTACTAATGGTTGGGAGCCATGTGGGTACAGGGAAGAGAACCCTGGTCCTCTCAAAGAGCAGCAAGTGTGCTGAGCCTCTCTGAATCATCTCTCCTGCCCCCTTGAGGGTTCTTTTTTTATTTAAATAACATTTTTTCATTTACTTTATATACCAACCGAAGTTTCCCCTCCCTCCTCTTCTCCTGTCGCCCCACACCACCACCACCCCACCCACCCCACCCCACCCCGCTCCTCCTCAGTCTCCATTCAGAAAGGGGCAGGTCTCCCATGGGCTTGAACAAAGCATGGACATCACAGGACCTAGTTCCTCCCCTTGCGCCAAGGCTGGGCAAGGTGGTTCTTAAGAAAGCCCATTAACGTCTTGTTTATTTTCTCCTAAACAAGGAGGGAAGCTGTACCACTACTTCATGTGTGACAGGCTAAGTAATGACTGGACATGGGCTAACCCGTTTTAGCACTTAGAATCATAAAACAGTCTTAAATAAAACCTCCATTCTGGGTTGGCTCGCCTGAGTTTCTTCTTTGTGACCCTAAACAATCTCTATGCCCTTTACTTCTTTGCTCCAGACATTTATTTCTCAGCTTAGAAGAAGTGGAGCTAGACAACAATTAGTCCTGGTGCCATCAATAAACAATGAAGCGAAGGAGGGAGGGGAGGGGAAGACGAGGAGGGAAGAAGAGAAGGAGGCGTTGTCCGAGACTCAATCACAGACAAGGGCACACGTACACACCGGGGTAGGTCACTAAGCTCTCAGGTTTATGCAGTGCTTCTGCCCTGATGTTGTAGCCCCACAGCCACAAAGGAGGTCATTACCTTGTGCTTGGTCATGGCGCCAACAATGAGAGGACAGACCATTCCAGACAGGGTCCCCACTCCGTTAGAGATCCCCATGAGAATGCTGGCATAGCGCGGAGCAATGTCCAGGTGGTTGACATTAAAACCTACGGCAGAGCCCAACCCTCAGTGTCAGAGAGGAGAACGGAATTCCTAAGACCCTTGGGGAAATGTGTGGCTTGCCCCCAGGCGCAACCATTTGATCTTCTCTAGTATATGTTTAACGGATATTCTACCAAGAGGGCCAGGCTGGACATTGCCAGGCTGTGCCTGCACAAAGCAGGACTGTCCGTGTTGATTAGCGATGCTTCTACGGCGGTGAGAATTACAGAAAATGTGCCCAGCAGATCTGGAACTCTAAAACCCAGAAACTCTAGACCCTTAGGAGGTCTAGAATGTGTCCATCTGAAGCAAACAATCAAAAACAATAGAAAAGAACCTTATCTTCCCATATGGCCTCTCCCAGTCCACCACTAGAAGTCCTAAAAGTCCTCCATAAATGAGTCTGCCTTAGTGGCTACATAATTTATTTTAAAAAATGACATTTCTAACTATTCATAATTATTCTTATGTTTATTTTCATAAACATAGACAGGACTCTGAATAATTTACAAAGGATTTTCATGTTTCAAATCTGTATATTTGGGCTCACAGCTTATTTCCATCATATAATCAAGTAGAGGAATAATATTGCTATTTATCTGTAACAGATGCTGTGACATGACACGGGAGAAATACAGATGTGAACACCTGTGGTGAACATCTGCACTATTCTAACCACACAGTTCCATGGTGAGGACTTCACTATTCTAACCACACAGTTCCATGGAGAGAACACACTATTCTCACCACACAGTTCCATGGTGAGAACACACTATTCTAACCACACAGTTCCATGGTGAGGACACACTATTCTAACCACACAGTTCCATGGTGAGAACTTCACTATTCTAACCACACAGTTCCATGGTGAGAACACACTGTTTTAACCACACAGTTCCATGGTGAGAACACACTATTCTAACCACACAGTTCCATGGAGAGAACACACTATTCTAACCACACAGTTCCATGGTGAGGACACACTATTCTAACCACACAGTTCCATGGAGAGAACACACTATTCTCACCACACAGTTCCATGGTGAGGACACACTATTCTCACCACACAGTTCCATGGTGAGAACTTCACTATTCTAGCCACACAGTTCCATGGTGAGGACACACTATTCTAACCACACAGTTCCATGGTGAGAACTTCACTATTCTAACCACACAGTTCCATGGTGAGAACACACTATTCTAACCACACAGTTCCATGGAGAGAACACACTATTCTAATCACACAGTTCCATGGTGAGAACACACTATTCTAGCCACACAGTTCCATGGTGAGGACACACTATTCTAACCACACAGTTCCATGGTGAGAACACACTATTCTAACCACACAGTTCCATGGAGAGAACACACTATTCTCACCACACAGTTCCATGGTGAGGACACACTATTCTAACCACACAGTTCCATGGTGAGGACACACTATTCTAACCACACAGTTCCATGGTGAACATCTACACTATTCTAACCACACAGTTCCATGGTGAGAACACACTATTCTAACCACACAACACTTGTTGGGCTTCTGCTCTTCCAGGGCAGCATCTCCTTGTCTCCCCCGCACTAAGGTCTTCTACCAGAGAGAATATGTCCCCCCCCCCCCCTGCCATTAAGGTCTCTGCTGTTCCACTCTCAGGAGGAAGGTGTGAATCAAGAGGAGGAGGAGCATGGCTAAGCCTTGAAAGAGCCAAATCCCCAGAACCCAACTCCACCCATATAGCCCAGTTCATTAGACCTCAGCTTTGGTAGCTCACCTGAGATGCTAATATGGACTAAAGACTTAACTCTCTTGGCCCTCAGTTTCTCCATCTGTAAACTGCAGTGATCATTCTTAGAAAACCGTTGTAGGAATTAAAGTAAATAACAAGGGATGTTAAGTAAATGGTAACTAGAAGTGAAAGCCAAGTTCATGCTTTTCTACTTCTAAAATTGTTCTGATTTCACTTTTTGTTTATTTGTTTTATTTATTTAGAGATTGTGTCTTAAACTCACGGAGTTAACCTGTCTTCTCGCCTCAGCCTCCCGAGAGCCTGCAATCACAGGCATGCACCATGTCTAGCTACATGGATGGATGTAAGGTCTAGGCAGCCGTCAGTCCCATTGCCCACTGTCTTCCCTGCACTAGCGAAGTGTCTGGCCTTTAGGAATCATTCAAACGTTCTGAAGGATTTCCACCCCACCTCAGATCTGCACATTCTTGTTTGGAAAATTAAAGCAATGAAGTACACAGAAGCTCATTGAAAACTATAGAAATTGCCCTAAACGCTCCCAATGTTTGTGATCACATGTCAAATGGCCTGGCCATTTGAACTAAAATTACCAATCCTTTAATGGGAAGTAAGTCTGTCAGGTAGGGTGAACTGGGGGCTAGCCTGGGATCCATGCCTGGGCTCTGCTTATGCCTCAGGGAAATCAGCTGCACTTATGAATTTTCCCCTTGATAGAGTTAGTAGGGACAATCTCAGCTAGAATGGGCTCTAAGCACATCCCTGGTGGATCGTATGTCATCCCACTTGATGAAACTGTGGCCCTGTTCCTTAGGAATCCCTGGGCTGCTAAATAAAGGTGCTACAATTTCCTCCTAAGACTTAGTGAATCGACATACTCAATTCAGAAACCCAGACAATGTTTTACCTGAAATAGCAAAGCCACTAAATCCTACAGCGAGCACCAGGAAGGAGATAGCCACTCCTTTGGTGTGGGAAAAGCCAACCACCAGAAGTAGGGTCGCCTCCATGCCGAAGCCTGCAACAGAAACAGAAGAACCATCGTGTTTCTGTCAGTCTGCCAAGCTATTGACTTAGCGTGTGAACCTAACCCATATTTCATGAACCTGAGGTTTTAGTGCATACATCCTAGCTCAGTATCTACAATATTCCCCAATGTTCATGATTGCATGACCATGCCATTGTCGAGGTGTTCTGTGAACTTTCTACCTTATCCTGGTGAACCCTGAACAACAAATGGTCCCAGTAGGTTCAATGATGGTCCCAGGATGAGAGGTGTGAGTAGTTAATCCTTGGGCAGTTGCTCCTGCTGGTCTGAATGCTGTATATACAGCCCACTAACTCCTTTTGTCCACATAAGCTGTGGCATTCTCCATAAAAATAACATGACAACACTCCTCTAATATTTTCTTCTAAAAACAAAAAACTATAATAATCATCTGAAATAAAAGTTCCTTAGTCAGACAGGTGTGGTGGCTCAGGCCTGGAGACTGAGGCCAAGTTAAAAATGACCACAGATTTAAGGATCACCTGGGCTATATCATGAATTTAAAGTCAATCAAATAGTGAGACCCTGTTTCAATTAAAAAAAAAAAAAGGACCAAGCAGATTTCAGTACTTAGAAGGTAGAGGCAGTTAGAGCTCTGTGAGTTCAAGACCAGCCTGGTCTACATAGTGAATGCCAGGCCAGCCAAGGCTACATGGTAAGACCCTATCTTGAATGGAAGGAAGGAAGGAAGGAAGGAAGGAAGGAAGGAAGGAAGGAAGGAAGGAAGGAAAGAGAGGGAGGGAAGGAGGAAAGGAAGAACAGAGACGACAAAAGGAGAGGAGGGGAGAAGAGGAGAGGGGAGGGAAGAGAGAAGAAGAGAAGAGAAGAGGAGGGGAAGGGAGAAGAGAGAGAGGAGAAGAGAGAGAGGAGAAGAGAGAGAGGAGAAGAGGAGAAGAGAGAGCAGGCTGCTGATAGCCCAGTGGTAGAAGGCTCACCTGCCATGCACAAGACTCCATCTCTAACAGGAAAAGGGGAGGAGTAGATAAATAAATAAAACAAAGGGATGTCTCAGTGCTAGTGAAGCCCAAGTCAAAAACTTCCATTTCCCTACTTCCCCGAGGCTTCAGGCCTCGGAAAAAGTGTGAGACGCTTGCACAGAAAGTAGAGTAGGGGGACATACTTCCTGTTCTTTTCATCCAGAATCAGTGATTCCAGCATAAGAAAAAAGAGATGAGATAATTATAAAGACATGTATTCCCATCAGAGAGGGGGGGGAGGGAGGGAGGGAGAGAGAGAGAGAGAGAGAGAGAGAGAGAGCTCATCTAACAGCAGACAGAGAGATGACATAAATACCACGTGCAGTTCACAAAGTGTGGGGAGTAATTGGAGTAGAGGCTTCAGTCTGGAAACTAGCTGCGGAGTCCACGCATCTCCACATGATGCTCCTACGGTTACTTCCAGGGCAACACGGCAAACCGAGTGTCTGTTCCTGTTTCTTTCATGTCCTCGAACCCAAAGCAAACCACCCCTCCCACATCTTCCTCCCTTTCTCTGATTAGTCTCCAGCATAGCCGTGTTTAGGGCCTCCTCGACGATGGAGTCAGAAAGCCTGACTTCAGATTCTGCCTCCAAACCGTGACTCGTGGACCCTTGGAGTAGTTGTGGTGTCTCTTCAACTCCTCGTATTAAAAGCAGAGCTGACCAGACAGCCGAAAGGAACGCGGGAAGAGGAAAGGAAGTTGGGAGCGCAAGACACTGAAGTAGCACATGGGTGCACACGTGGTCGCCAGACAGCCAAGCAGAAGCGTCAGAACCAGCCGGGCGGTGGTGGCGCACGCCTTTAATCCCAGCACTCGGGAGGCAGAGGCAGGCGGATCTCTGTGAGTTCGAGGCCAGCCTGGGCTACCAAGTGAGTCCCAGGAAAGGCGCAAAGCTACACAGAGAAACCCTGTCTCGAAAAACCAAAAAAAAAAAAAAAAAAAGAAAGAAAGACCAGAAACCAGAAGCGTCAGAACCACCATAGACACTCTTTAATCCTCAGTTTTCACATACAATTACGTGTATTCATCCTCAGAAGTTACTATCAAATCTTACCTCTGCTTTCTCCATCTCTGCCTTTGTCTTAATTCCGGGCTCTATCACCTGTCACCTGATTGGTGGCCTTCCCTCTGACATCTTCCGATGCATTTACTACACAGTCTTCCTAAACCACGTGCTCAGTGGGACTCTGTGTTTGCCAGGGGCCCCACATCACCAGCACAGTCTAGTAACAGTCCTTCTTGCTCCTCTAGTTCCCTGTCCGCCAGCCTCACCTCTGCTCCCCATCCTATCCTGAAGCGGCCTGCCGAGTAGCAGCAACACAGCCCTCCAGGTGCTTCCCAACCCACAGCATCCTCAGCTCCACCAGTAAAGCCGTCTTCCTCCTCTTTCTCCTCTTCCTTTGCTCTTATTTTCTAGGACGTATCAATCATGCCTTATAAGTTTGTAATTTGCATTTGACCTCTCCTACAAATTTATACATTTTTATGCATGCTAGACAATCAGGGTGGACACTCACCACTGTGTTACAGCCCTAATTCTTGGCTTTTTGCAACAAGGTCTTGCTATGTAGCCTAGGCTGACCTGATGCTCTTCTGCCTCCAACTCCTGAGCGCTAGGATTTATGCGTGTGTTTCACAACCCCCAGCTTACAAAACTGTACACTTTTTGGCATGTGTGTGTATGACTTGCGCATGGTATGCATGCACGTCTTTGTGTGTTCCCGTCTGTGGGTACACACATGTGCACAGGCCTGTGGAGTCCAGAGGCTGACACGGGGTGTATTCCTAGATCACTGTCCGCTTACTGAGGCAGGCTGTCTCACTGGACACAGAGCCCACAGTTCAGTTACTCTAGCTTGCCAACTTGCCTCAGGGATCCTCTGCCAAGCAGACATGCCTGCCCAGCTATCTTCTATGTGAGTGATAGGGATCTGAACTCTGCTCCTCACACTTCTATGGCAAGAACTTTATCCACTAAGCCATCTCCCCATCCTAGAACTACACTCTTAACACAGAACCAAGCTAGCTTGCAATAGGCACTGAACAAATAACAATTAATTGGTGCCAAGGAAAGATAATGAGATAAAAATACAGAATCGTATACTGGGCTGGTGGGAAAAAGCCATCAATGGTCTTATCCAACAGTGGACCCTACATGGTGCAATAAGGCCTGCCACATAACACATACCTATTGGTGCAAAGTGGCATGGATGTTATAGAGGTAAAAAACCACTCCCTGATTGGATGTGAGGCCTCTTCCATAGGAGGAAAGTTATGTCTGATTCTGTAAATCTGGTCAAAGTGCTTCACTAAGGAAGTGATAGGCCTTGGGGAGGAGCCTATTACTGCTGCTTTGCTAAATGGACATTTTATTAGGCTGCGTTCTTTTATGCTTATACCCATAGACTAGTGCAGATTTTTGTCAGAAAGGCTTTTTTTTTTCCAGCAGATCACTCTCTACCCACTCCAACACAAGGCTCAAAGAACATCACAAAAAAAAAAAAGGGCACCAAAAAAACAATGTTAGAGCTGGAGAAGGAGGAGGAGGAGGAGGAGGAGGAGGAGGAGGAGGAGGAGGGGGAAGGCTGTGAAATACTGTCTTCTGGACTTGTGACTCGTAAACCGGGAACAGCTGAAGCTACTTGGAAAATATCTACACAAGATCAAGCCAGTCAACATTCCAATGTGGATGGGGGAGGGGAACTCCTAGCTGAAAAGCTATTGGCAATTAATGACTTCTGGGAGAGGGGGAGTTGTTTTTCTTCAAGAGTACAGCCGCTGGTAAGCTATCCATGGTCCAGCAAATAACTCACACCCATATGCATGTAAGCAACCATAATCACACTCCATGGAAAATTTAAAAAAGACATAAAAAAAGGGAAGAGACATGTTAGTAAGAAGGAGAATTTCTGAGAAGTAAGACATGAATAAAAGAGAGAATTAGGATGAACTTGATCAAAATACATTATACATATGTATGAAATTGTCCAAAAATAATTTTAAAACAAAATTATTTCTATAGAGAGAGGGGGGAATGAAATACTGTTAATTGCTTTTCTAAATTCATCTTTTTTTTTCAAAGCTACTCTAGAGAAGGCAAAGCATTAGTATTTCTTTCAGTTGGAGATCTAAGGAGAACCATCTAAGGGTGAAAGCATCATGCTTTTGAAACCGTGGATTTGCGAGCCAGAGAGATTGCTCAGTGGGTACAGGACTTGCTGCCCTGCATAGGAACCCAAGTTCAGATCCCCAGTCCAGCACCCACACGGAAGCCAGGCATGGCAGTGCACATCTGCAACCCCAGCACTGGGGGAGGGGACACATCTGGATACCAGTGGCTCCACCAGCTAGCTGGTCTAGCTAATCAGCGAGCTCTGGGGTCAGTGAAAGACCCTGTCTCCAAAATGAGTTGATGAGTGATAAAGAAAGACATCTAACATTGACCTCTGTCCTCCGTACATGGACACACACAAACATACCCCCCCCCATGCACACACATACACCATCTACACACAAATATTTTGGGGGGAGGAATTGAGCTTGGGATATAATAACTCAGGGGTAGATGCTTGCCTGGGGGCTACATATGAGGGTGGGATTAAAACTCCAGTCCAGACATCAAGCCCTTCTGGTGAACAGTTTTAGAACTAGAGCTCTACATTTTCATGGCAAAAATGGGTTGGATCTGTTCCTTGGTTTAAATCAATTTCCTAGATGATTTTATGTTTACTCCTTCAGAATAGGGCATGCTACAGTAACAGTGAAGGTCCATTAAGGGAAAGCTAATATGTTTCCTTGTGGTTAAGAGAATAGAATCTCTGCCCTGAGGGGAGATGTAAAATTCCAGTTGAGCAGGTCAGTCACCTGGCTAAGAGACCACCCCTCAGAAAGCTGGATCTACCTTAAGATATGTTGAAAAGGTAGGAGGAATAATTACCTCTTTAATGAGGTAATAATATATTTTTTTAATATAAATATTTTTGTTAATTCTTTGAGAATTTCATACAATGTATTTTGATTATATTCACCCCATCTCCTCCTTTTAATTCCTCCAAAACCCATCCCTACCTTCCTACATCAACTCTGTGTCCTTTTTAAAAGTTTACTAATCTGTGGTTTAATTTGTGCTGTCCATACACTTCTAAGTATGGAACCATCCACCGAAAGCACAGTCAACCTACCCCAACCAACACCCTTAAAGAAAACTGACACTCCTCATACTGGGAACCAAAGATAATAAGAGTTGAGATGCCAAAAACCTATTTCAGAATCCTACATTGAAAAAGGATCACTGACCATGAGGAACTCCCAAATAAGCAGATTATGAAGCAAGGAAATACATTCAGGACCTAGATTTAAAAGTTACCAACATGGATTATTGGCAATTTGGAAGGCAAATTTTAAGACATGGGAGGCATTTTCAGAAAGAAAATTGAGATTCTGAAGAAGAACCAAACAGAAATGCTGGAAATGAATTAGTTAGCCAAATGAAACACAGTGAGAAACATCATTGACAGACATGACCAAGCATAAGAAAAAAAGTCAGAGACAGAGGACAGGGTCAAGACATCAGACACATGTAAGGAAACAAAACTAAATAAGCATAATCAAAATCCTCAAGAACTCTAAGATACATTCAAGAGACTGAACCTAAGGACCCACAAGGTAAAGGGAGTAGTTGAGATAAAGTTAAAAAAAAAAGAATAGAAAATGTATTTGATAAATTTATAGCAGAATGGTTCCCAAATCTAGAGGAAAAGTAAGCATCTAAACACAAGAAGTATCTAGACCCTCAAACAGATATGGCCAGAAAAGAACCTATCCACATCATGTCATAGGCAGATGTTAAAACTACAAAGCAAAGAAATGATGTTAAAAACCATAAAGGAAATGTCAACTTGCCTACAAATGGAAGCATATCAGAACATTAGATTTCTTGCCATCAAACCTAAAACTCAGGAGAGCATCAGATGATGTTCCAAGCCCTGAAAATAACTTCCAACTAAGCTTGCTATATCCAGCAAAGTAATCTTTTTAGTTGATGGAAAAATCTGAAGATACCAAGGTAAACACAAACAGCAATAGGACAATCATGTTAACGTGGCAGAAAACATTGAAAGGAATACTATACTCAGAAGAAGAAGAAAATCTCATTTATTCATCTGTAGATTGGCCTACTCATGCTTCATGACCCAATCACTTCTCAACGGTGCTGAGAGCTGGGGACCAGATCTTTGACACATCATCCTTTGAGGTCATTCATATCTAAACCCTTGATGCCTGGTAGAGACTAGTAGGGTAAAAAAAGAATGTGAGCAGAACTCACAGTGAAGAGGATGTTAGTGAACAACATCATAGACACAAGATATGTTCACATCTGTCCAGGATGATGGTGAGCTAGTGCGCAATGAGACAGAGGAGTGAGATACCTAATATTTTCTCAGCTTCCAGTTGCTGATGTAACAAAAGGCCCGAAGGCTAACAACTCAAGACAACACATATTATCATACAGTTGTGTTCAGTCGGAAGTCCTAAGTAGACCATTCTGAGATAAAAGCAAGCAGTCAGCAAAGCTGGGTTCATTGTGAAGACTTAAGGGGTGAATCTGTTCCTGCCTCTGCTGGCTTCTAGAGTCTGCTCATGATTCTTAGCCTGTAGCTGCATCCCTCTGGCCCAATTCTACCGCCATGACCCTTGACCCCCTGCTTCCTCTATTAAGAAAACTTGTACCTAGGTTAGTGCATAGCACTGAAAGTGTTTGAGAGTGCACACTCAAAAAACAAACTAGATGAGCTCAGAAAAAAATGGAGAGGTTGAAAAGTGAATCGGGATAAACATCGTAGAGGCTCGTGACTAGTTTCGTTGACTTTTTATGTGATATCCTTTGTGTTTTACCCAAACATATATGTACACATAAGTTAAAGAGGAGGAGAAGGAGGAGGAGGAGGAGGAGGAGGAGGAAGTAAACTATGTAGGCAAATAATAAGTGGAAGGATGTGTGGAAAAGATAAATAGCAAGCAGATACATAATCAGAAGTTATATTACTTTGGCTTCAGAATAGAAGGAAGAAGTGTTTCTTGGGTTTTAAGTGTGTCCTGATTCATCAGCCACCAACTAAGCTGTCCTAACCCCAGATTGTACTGGCTACATGGTCACATGGCAACATTGCGGGGATATGGCAGACAACACTCAACTGTCTACAAGGAGATGGACTCAGAGGTCTTCAAGGTCCATTACAATGTCTAGGCTCAGCCTGACTGAGCCTGATGGAGCCCAATCTCAGAAGCTACCCAGACTTGAGTTGAGTTAGTACTTGGATGGGAGACAATGGGCTGGCTCTAAAGCTGGCTCTGCCATTCTGTTTGCTCTCAGTCTCCAGAAACCGCTTGAGCCCCTTGGCACAGTACCTCCACAATTCATGATCTTTCTGACAGCAGTTGTGGTTAAAATCTTCCTGCTTCTTAAATAATCCGCCAGTTGTCCTCCGATAGGCACCACAACGGTCATCACCATGTGTGGGACAGCTGACAAGAGACCCACCTAGAAGGAAAGGAAACAAAGACCCAACTTAAATTCTCCTGAGAGATCATCACAAGTCCCCGCTCACCCCCATTACACAGCCCCACAGCCATTACCAACGTTAACCATCTAATGTGGCATCTCAGGAGGTCTGAACTTCATAATCACTAAGAACGAATGGGGTGATGATTCTGTGTACGGACCAACTGTCTTCCCACCCAACTGGAAGTTCCCTAGAGCCAGAGACAAGTCTTACTCATCACAAGGCTCCCGTATCTAGAACAAGGCCTAGTGGAGGAAAAACATACTTGGTGTCCACCATCACACGACTCTGCTGGTTCGTCCAGTCTCTGCTTGATAGCACCTGAGCGAGTCAGACATCTACCTATGCCTGGCTGCAGCTCTTTCTCTTGAAGGAAGGAAGCTTTATTGTTTCGTGATGCTGATATTGTTTCACTATCAAAACCTCCCTGAAACACAGGCCACCTCATGACGATGGCTGGAGACCTGAAGGAGCTTCTTTCTAAACCATCCCAAGCAACCATTACTGCTACAGTTACCATTATGAAAAAAGGGACTGGTCTGAAACATTAGCCTCATTGTTCCTTCTGCCACCCAATTAGCAGCTTATTGCATTTATTTATTTGGGGGGAAGAGGTCCGGGCATAGCACACATTCCTGAGGTCAGAGGACAACTTCCAGGAATTGATTCATTCTTTCCACCAGCTGAGTCCTTGGGGACCAAACCCAAGTAATCAGACTTGACCATAAGCACCTTTACCTTCTGAGCCATCTCGCTAGCCCATGAGTAGTTTAGGAAGAGAAAAACCCACTCCATCAAATACTTTTAACTTTGAACTAATATTCAGTGTTTGCATTAGCTTCAGAAGCACCCTGAGTTTAGATAGAGGCACCGTCATTAAACACAGATTAATACATCTTTGATCCTTACTAAAAAGAAATTAAATAGTCAGACTATTGCCTGACCTCTAGGATGCTACATGTTGCAGAACTTTGTGAATGATAGCCATTTTAATTATTTTATGATGTAAAGTTATTCTTGATCAGATTGAGACAGTTCAAGAGCATTGGAAGCATCTGTATGTTTACCTTACTGATTGCAAACCCAAAGACCTCTTCAAAGTAAGCAGGCTGACTTATTAAGAGCAAATAGAAGGTCCAGCTTCTGCAGAAGTTGGCCACAATGATCGCGTAGACAGGCAAGGATGTGAAGAACCTTTTCCATGGTGTGTTGAATTTCTAGGGAGTGAAAAAAAGACCATGAGCTTTTGAGTGAAGACGCTGACATTTTAGTTCTGTAAGACAGTGTACAGAGCACTGAGGTCCTTGTGTTCACAGATAAGCACAGGGAAAACCAGAAATGTTAGGAACACAGGCTTGTTTCTTCAACAGAAAGGATGTGTATACCTGTTTTCCATCCAGAAGGCTGGGAGTGGATATGATTAATAACCTGGTGATCTGTGCTATCTATAGGGACAGGCATCACCCAAATCTCCCAGACTACTATGTTTATCCCAGATACTCCCTCCCTAGACCTTTATCTTGAGCATTGCTTCTCAGTCAATAGAACCCATCATTATGGAAGATGTCACATGTACTTTATAGCCCGGTGGCCTCTACACTATCTGTATGACTGAGACCACACCAGATCTGAGTCCCTTAAGTCATAGAACCCATCTTCATGGTAGAGGTCACATGTACTTTGCAAACAGAGTTCCCATGCAGTCATACCTTAAGCTTTATTGTTCACGTGGTATAAAGATAATTGCTACCAGGAAACTTTTTTCCAAAGTTGTATTGTACTTAAATATGTCTAAAACAAACTGCCCAGTGTCAGACTTTCGAAGTTGGAACTAGCAATGGCTGGTTCAAAGTGCTGAACTGGATTTCCTTCTTGCCTTTCGTGGATCATTCCTCTGCCAGCTGTAGTGTTTGCAGGGACCTCCCCACCCCGCCCCGCCCCAGAAGGTAGCACAGTCATGCAGAGAAACACATGTGGGGAAGAGAGCGGACTTCACCTTCCATCTGTACTTACACTCGGACTGGCCAAGTTGGCCCCTTCTCCTATACTTGTCTCTATGTACGTCTTTTCCGCGTTGGATATCGTCGGGTGAGCTGCTGGGCACTCATAAGCCTGCAGCAGCCAAAATATGTACCAAATAATCCCGAACATACCTGCAGATAAAAAAACAAAAGGCTCAGTGGCGCGGCCTCATTAGCTTCCATCCCTATGGTTGTTCATTGTTCTGATAATATGTGTTCACTCAGAAACATCTTGGTGGTTTTTAATCTTGTTTGATTGGGACTCAAAGGAAGGCACTATTCTGCTTGTTTTAAATGCCAGGTTTAATGTAAGTATTAAATTGATCACAAGCAGGCTTCCCAATTGTATAATGAACTTCTCTTTGTATTTCTATTTTCACAGAGCAAACCCTTAACCGTATACCCTAATAGAGTAAAATATATCTATCTGGTCACCCCAGGAAACCAAATCACTCACCGTAAATGTAAAAGACAGAGGCCCAGCCAATGTACTGCACCAATACTCCTGCAAGGGGCATAGCCACCACTGCCCCAGCGTAGGAACCTGGAAGCAGAGAAGATTGAGGGACACTGACCAGTCATCATGCAAGCCTGGTTAGCCCAGGTAGAGCGTGTGTGGTGAAGTCCGCGTCAGATGGCTCCATGACATCAGTCAGGGGCTCCCAGGGAACGTTACAGCTGTTGTTAGTGTGCAGGAGACTAAGACCCCATCTCCGCGACGGAGCTATACCCCTGCCCCCAAGCGGGCCTTAAAACAGAGTGTCCGGGAGAGGAAAGTCTTCAGGATGCTCTTTAACGTCACTGGGAGACACGTGCAAGGATTAGACAAAGTTTGCTTGGCCACCACAGTTTCGAACGCCATGAGCAAACAGAATCCGGAGATGAGAAAAGGATAAGAAAATGAATAAATTTAAAAATTTATAAATTAATAAAATGGAATAAAAAATTAATACAGCCAGGCACAGGGCTGGGTGCTAAAGGTGGAAAGAAGAATGTGGAGCCTGTTTTCAGAGCTCCCAGGACCCCACCTAGATGCTTTCATAGCCTTTTCAAAAATAAAAGAACACACACACACACCCCACTCAGGAAGATTCCAGGCTGCCAGGACGACTTTTCTCTCCATCCACTTCCTAAATGGGTACATTTTAAAGATCATGTCTGTTGAATAAAAATTACAGAAGACTTGTGTTTTAGATGATGTGGATGCTTACACTGGCCCCGACAGACCAGACTAATGGAGTCACTAGCTCCCGGGCTCTACATCACCAAGGCAAAGCCCAACTATTTATCAGATTTTTGTTTTAAGAAACCAGGAAAAGTGACAGACTAGTTTCCACGGGTGTGACAACAGACTTCTGAGTATCTCTGCCTTGATCCTCACATTAAAAGGGTCACCTGATGCTAACTGGTTACTTCTCTGTTGTCCCGGGTCTTTGCCCTGCGGCCATGCCCGGAAAATCACGGAAATGGCCAATCTGCTTCTTGTTCTTAGTTCCTGCCCCCATGTCATCCCTTCTGTGCCCATGAACCAACCTCTCCTGCTTGTCCCTTTTGCAACAATCATTCTGTTTCATGGGTTGAACTGCTGATGAGTCTAGAAAAGAGAAGAAAGCCAACTGAGATCTTTAAACGTAGGCTTTGGTGATTTTTGTCCTTTGACATTTCTTACTTTGTGAATTCTGAACTTTGTATGCTTGTGTGAGGACGTCCGTCTTGCTGTGAGGACTAGAAGCGGTCATCTGGTCTCCCTGGACTCCTGAACAAAGAGTTCCTCTCTGAAATCCTCCCCACCCCATCCTGGGCCATGAACAAGAAGCTTTTCCTTAAGAAAAGTGAGTAGCACAAAAGGGAAGTTCACTTTCCAAATCCAACACCAAGCAAGATCTTTAGGAAGTGGGTGATGCTCCAGGGAAATAGGAAAATATCACACCTGCCTAAGCTGGGCCTGATCTAAGACAGCGGCAGCCTGGGACCTGGAATGTGACTTCGATATCTAAAGAAGTAGAAAGACTCCTTTAAAGATAAGATAGGAATGACATCTCTGCCTCTTGGGGGTGTTATCTATACTGTGGTGTCAGGATGCTCTGTAAATGGAAATGGTCTCATTGACACCAACTGCCACTGCTTTTAGTATGTACAGAATAACAAAGGACATGTTTTGAGACAGGCTATTAGGTAGCCTAGGTTGGCCTTGAACTCATTATGTATGGCTTTGAACTATTGATCTTCCTGCCTCCACCTACCAGGTACTGGGTTTATGGGCTGTGTCACCACATCTGTCCCCAGGTGGTACGGGGATCATAACCCAGGTCTTCCTGCAAACAGGAAAGCTCTCTCTCAAGTGGGCTGCAACCCCAGCCCTAAGGCACATTGATTTTAAACCTCAGAATTCTTCACAGCAATAAAGCAACATTCCAGAGCATAGAATAGCAAAGAAATCTCTCTGCTTCCTTTCTTTCTCTCTATCTCCGTCTTTCTCTGTTTATTTCTTTTACTCTGTGTGCATGTTGTGTGTGTGTGTGTGTGTGTGTGTGTGTATGCGCGTGTGTGTGCAGAGTGGTCTTCTGCCCCAGGGAGCAGTAGGGTGAAGTTTGCATGATGCAAAGGTGCTGTATGCTAAGTAGTAGGACAAGCATCCTGAACCCATAATTTTTATTCAGCTTCTTCCAAACTGATGAGGGAGACACAAATATTATCCCCAACTTTATAGGGCTGGGGAAATGTGAGTTGCCATTGGTGACAGGGGTGTAAGAACCCAGAGAAGGCCTTGCTTTTTTTTTCTTTCACCACCATCCTGCCTCTGTGGTTTTCCAATCTTGCCTCCTTCATCATCAAATGCCAACAATCCTCCACTGTAAGAAGCATTCTTTCGGCTGGGCGGTGGTGGCACACGCCTTTAATCCCAGCACTTGGGAGGCAGAGTCAGGTGGATCTCTGAGTTCAAGACCAGCCTGGTCCAAAGCTACACAGAGAAACCCTGTCTCAAAAAAAAAAAAATTCTTTCATTGGAAAGACTATAACTGACCCAAATTGCCTTCCCTGTCTATCAAACTCCCGTCCTCTTCAGTCACAGCTCCACTATCATCTTCTACCCCTCACTTCCAGCCCCTTGGGCTTGTTCCCAGTGAGCTCTCCAGCCCTCAGGCTACCCTAGAGAGCAGAGTGGACATCAGCACCCACGTACTCCTGTGAGGGCAGATGAAGCCCTCAGGGTGTGCCATGGAGAGGAGCCGAGGACGTGCAGGAGGGGGAGGGACTCCGGAGTTCTGTTCTCACGAGCCACATTAATTTCACCTCTCTCCCCCAGTTTCCTCAACGCTAAAACGACGGGCTGTGACCCCATGTTTTCTAGTCTCTTCCAGCTCCACTATCCTTTAAGACTAAGAATGGATTAACCTCAAGCCTAAGTTTCTTTTTAATGACATTTCCCCTCAACTGTTCTCTGAAAGAAAGCCACACCTTAGCTGGGAAATATAATAAGGCCTGCAACCTTGACCAGGTATCCTTCCTTGAGTCGAACCATTTTTGAATCAGCCCTTTGAAGGCTATAAAGCCACTCCGAGAATGGGGAGCGGCTACTAGTCACTCTCATTTTTGCTGGCAAATCAAAATGAAAGGTCTTGCCAATCAACTGTCATTAAAAATAAGGCCAAGGGTCACACCACCCACAGCATGTGGGCAGTCCTCCATCTTCTGGGGTTGGTTGCAACTTTTGTCGGGTGGAGATACACTCTAGCAGTCAAGAGGATAGACAAGTAGACATCTCAGCCAGGCACTCTTTCAAACTAGACACAAAACAGGGACACGGACACTATCTCCCACCAAACTCCCAGGGGATAGTTTATGGCAACAATGATGATTTAAAGGAGATAAGGAGACAATAAAAAAGAGAATTAATGGGGCTAGAGATGGATCAGAGGTTAAGTGTATTGGCTATTCTTCCAGAGAACCCTGGTTCAATTTCTATTACCTGCATGGAAGCTCACAGCCATCTATAAGTCCAGTCTCAGGTAATCCATTGCCACCTTCTGGCCTCCACAGGTGCCAGGCATGCACGTGGCATATAAACATACGCACAGACAAAACATCCATACACATAACATAAATTATTTTCAAAAGAAAAATAAGGACACTCATATTAATAGAGAAGAAGTTTGATTTTTCTCCTTGGTAAAGAAGTTCAAATCAGCTTATCCTAGGAAAGACATGATAGCTTGAAAGAACTGGGTAGACAGGACAGGTTAAGGCCCCTGCCACCAAGCCTAAGGACCTGAGTTCAATCCCACATGGTAGAAGAAGAGAACATCTACATAGGCCCTGGCATGTGTACATACACATACGAGCACGCGCGCACACACACACACACACACACACACACACAAAAAAAAAAAAAAAACCACACACACACAAATATAAATAAATAATTTGAAAAACAAATCAGATTGCTGGGTGTGGTGGTGCACACCTTGTAATCACATCCCTAGGAAAGCAGAGGCAGGAGGGTTATGAGTTGGAGGCTAGAAGGCTGACCTGGGCTACACAGCTGAACCCTGTCTCAAAAAACCATCCACAGATCAAATTCCCACAGACAATTTGAACAGCTGCTAATGTACCAAACCATCCTCATAACTGAAAAAGCCAGCTGAACTAAGCAAGGAAATGCTAAGGAGGCTTAAAGAGAAACAAAATGAACAGCTTTCAGAATTCTTTAATTATGAATAAAAAAATCGGATATATGGGGTCATGCTGATAAAATAATGGCTCACAGAGGTGGTGAAGTGGGAATTCAGACATTTCACAAACCAACTCCACAAAGAAAGGGGCTTTAGTTCCTTTGGTGAAAAACCTAAAATCCAATGGTTACCCAGACTGTAGCAGTAACTGGCATTCAGTGACCCAATCTTTACTCGGTGGTTGAAAATGAACCCCAGGTCAACGGGAGGGTGGGATGTTTTGTATCCTTTTAGAATAAGAACCAGGGAACAGGGCTTGGTGATGCACCATGGGATCCCAGCACTCTGCAGATGGCCACAGAAAGATCAAGAATTCAAGGTCCGAAGGGACTGTGAAACTCTGCCTCAAAAAATGGAGCAGGACTGGGGGAGATGACGCAGAGGGCAAAGTACTTGCTGCACAAGCGTGAGGATCGGAATTCAACACCCCGCAAACCTTTGTAGAACTGGCATGGTGGTGAGCGCCTGTAATCCCAGGGTTCCTGCACCAAGATGGGAGGCAGAGGCAGGAGAGGCTGGAAGCCTGGAGTCCAGCTAGCCTGGCATGCGCAGTAACAAAAAACGACAAGAGACCCTCTCGCACACAAGGTGGAAGGTAAGACTGATACCAGAGGTTTCTGGAGCTGGGCAGGGAGGGGGGTAGACTTATGCACATGTACCATAGCATATGCTTGTGTGTGCGCACGCACATACACACACACACACACACACCACCACCACCTCAACCACCGCCACCACCCACCCTCATACATGCATACAAAAAATAAAGCCAGTAGTTAAGAGTCAAAAAACCCCGGGCTAGAAAGCTAGATCGCTCAGCAGTTAAAAGCACTCTCTTCTCTTGCAGAGGACCCAGGTTCATTGGGTTCCCACAGCACACGCATGGCTGCTAACAACAATCTTCAGTAACTCCACTTCCAGGGGATCCAGTGCCCCTCTTTGGCCCCCTCAGGCCCCGGGAACGCATGTGGTACACAGACATGTGCAGGCAAAACATTTATATAATAATATATTTTAACTCTTTTATAAAAGAGTCAAAAATTAATTAGAAGTAAAAGCAAACAAAAATGTTTACAAAACACTTCCTAAGAACACTTAAATAAAATTTATTCTAAACATAATAATTATAACAGTAGCTTTTTTCATAGTAAATGATTCTTTTTAAGGCTGAAACCAGTTTTGGAAAAACTTACTTACTTTCATAACCATCCTATAATGCAACAATAATGGTCTGTCTGTAGAAAAATAAGTCATACATACCTAAGTTCTAATCCTGACTGCCTGGCCATGTTGTAACTTCTGTGGACTAAGGTACTTTTGCCTTCCTGGACCCCTTCCTCTATAAAAATAAAGGCACTTTATAACTGTGCTGGTGGCTCTCATTTCTCTCGCTGGTCAGTACTGAGATAAACTCAACAGGATACTGACTCCTCCCAGCCATGCTTAGAAGAGAACCTTGGTGATATAAAGTTCAGAGACCCAAGAATTGAAGTCATGTCAATACTTGGGGACCTCTGGTCTGCTTTCAGGTAAGATGAATGGACTCCACTTCATTTTTTATCTGGAATACAATGCCCACAACTAAGTCTCTCAGTGACAATGTGTACATGACAGTTATGGGTAGTAAGGAAAGTTCCATATTGTGAACCAAGTGGTCTCAGCTCAGCTCCATGACTGAGGATCTTTGCAACCCCAAATAAGATATTGTATTTTTGTTTCATTATGAACGTGGGTTCAGAACTTGGTAATCCCATCTCTTCCACTTTAAAATATTTTATTATACTCTTATCTATTTATTTTACGTGCCTATGAGCGGCATACATAAGCCATGGCACAGGGTGGAGGTCAGAGGACAACCTATGGACTTGGAGTCTCTCCTCCTACCACTGAACTGAACATTCCAGGACCTGGGACAGCTCAGTGAGCTTTAGACCCAACACCAGCAACTATCTATCTTACCCATTCTGTTATGTGGGGAAAACAAGTTCTTTTGAAGATTCTGTGCAGACTTCTCAGTTACTTGAAGCCAAAAAGCCCTCCTAAACCAACTTATGATTCTAACATGCTTACCGCAAAAGGAAGTTGTGGCCAATCGGCTTCTCTCCAGGGGAGGCGCCCACTTACTCCACATCCCATGGCAGGCTGGGTAGGTCACACCCTGGCAGAAAGATTAAACATGGGATAATTGAATTTTATTCCAATTCCTTTCCGTGTTTAAAATGCAAATGCTGCTGCTTCACACAAGCTACAATATAAAAATACAATTTGTGTACATTGCCAAATACAAAGCCTATGTTCCTTTCAAGTATTAATGCTGAAATCTAATCCCCGGTGTGGTAGTGTTTGAATATGGACATTGAGAATAACACGGGCACAAAGGTGGAGGCCTCGTGAATAGCATTAGTGCCCTTACAGGAGAGACCCTGGCAGCACTTTTGCCCTCCCCCTGATGTGAGAACACAGAGATGACTATCAGTCTACGACCCAGGAAGCAGGCCCTCATCAGTCACTGAACATGTTGGCAACACAGAGCTGGGACTTCCCATGCTCCAGAACCATGAGAAATGAATGCCTGTTGTGTGTGGTGCTGTGTTACTGACCCCCAAACAGATTTTAATTAGTTAATTTTTTTTTAATTTAACTAAATTTGACTCATAACACCAATCCGGACATTCATAAATATAGTTCAAATACTAATGTGGTGGAAAGTCAGAGAGATGTCATATCTGTATTTCATGTTATTAAAGAGCACGGGTGTAGGAAGTGACTTCCACAGTCAGTCAGCTCACCTCCTCATTTCTGGGCACAGAATCTGAGGCTCGGATGCCTTAAGACCAGGTTTTAGCATTGGTCTTTGCAATTATGGATGTCGTATTCTTTCTGCCACATCAGTAGTTATCAAGGTGCAGCGCATGTCCTTCCAACAGGACTAAAGTGGTATTGGAGACTCAACAAACTAAATGTTTCTGTCTTTTCTTCTTATAGAGGGTGACTGGGGACTGAGCACGAGGCTTTGCACATGCCAGACAAGCATTCTATCACTAATATACCCTTAGCTACTTACTTATTTTGCAACAGGGCCTCCCTAAGTTCCCCGGGAAAGCTTGAAACTTGAGATCCTCCTGCCTCAGCCCCTTCAGTAACTGAGATTACAGGCCTGCACCACGGAGCCCGACTACATTCTTAATTACCGCTGGTACACATATATCCTATATGTGATGTTTTATGTCACAATGTAACCAGCACACCCAACATGTGGTTTCAAAGATGCAAAAAGGGAGTCCCACAGAGAACCTGAAAAACTGAGAAAAGGGGGTTTTCTTCAAGAGCTGAAAAATTCTAAAATACCGTGGTTTCTCTGGCAAGGCTGAAAACTGTAAAGAAAATGTGTCTCCTACCTCCACCAGACCCTGCAAAATCCTCACACACATGACACAGCCGTAATGTACCCTGGCTGCAGAAGGGATGAATATGTTCAGAGTTGATGTCAGGAAGATGGCAGCTCCAAAGACCCTAGGGGACCAAAGCACTGTATTATTGGACAGGATGACGGCGGATGCAGTACTTCCGTCAAACATCAGAAAACAGCTTAGAGGTTCGTGAACGGTCATGATGGAAATTAAGAGAAATTAATTCTGAGAAATAGACAGTATACTAGAAACTGCTGTGTCCCCAGCTAGCCCCTGGGCCACTTTGATTCTCAACTTCCAGTCCATGGACCATTTGTGGTCACATTCCTGGAAACACAGGAATGCCCAACTTGCATGAGGCCCTAGAAGGCCACAGGATGACTGTGCCAAGGCAAATTTCATGTAGACCTACATCCAACCCGGTTTCATCCAAGTGACCCTTCCTATTTGCGACTTCTGTGCGTTTGGGGCTGTGCCTCCTGCTTCCCACTCTGCTCTCCATGGACCAGAAGAGGATACTAACAATCCAGGAAAGAGCTGGAGACCTGTGACCGAGCTGTGAACTTGTCCACTCAGTATTTCCTGACAGCTACTTGCTCTCTCCACCTTACCAACACACACACACACACACACACACACACACACACACACACACACACACACACACGTGATATATATACATATATATCAATCATATTACAGCCCAGGATATATTTACATTCATACATTCGTGTAAAATGAGACCAGTTTTGGAAACTAATACTTAACTCTCATAGACAATATATTTAGATGTTTTATTGTCTTTCTATTCTTTAGTTATATTCTCTTCTGTTCTTCTCTTTTTCAAATAAAACTCCCATTGGTAAATCACTATCCTGATCTCACAACCATGTAAGTTGTGATTTCAGAGACTGAAAAGAAACTGCCTTACAAAATTTGATATACTTCATGAAGATGACTTATGCAATGTCTCATGATAAATATACTGGAAAGACCTGGATATTTGGTCCACTCTTTTTCTGGACCATGATTCCGTCTATGGCATCTCCCCAAGATGGACACACTCTTCACATGGAAACCATGTAGGGACAGGAAACTCACTTCCTTCATAGACGGTTCACTCTGTTCTGGAGGGACTGCACCCCATACCACTGCTGAAGCATTTAGAATGTCATGAGCATCTTGTGGTGTAAAGGCAAGTCCTCAGTGCTCACATGACAGCACTCCTGCTGTGCTGGTGACGTTAACATAAACACACGGAAGTACAGAACGCCACTGCTCCAAAACACAACTTAATCTACTGTTTCATTGCTCAGATGAGGAAACTCCCCCAGAAAAGGGTAGGAAGTGGTTCAGTAGAGATAATTCACTGATCCAGTGAGGGATCAAGAACGCTTCCCTTGACTCACAAATAATTATTCTTCTTACCACTTAATCACTTAGTGAGCTACAAGGTAAATTACATTGGGGGGGGGCAAGCAAACAAAAAACCAGTGCCATTTGGGATCAGTGTCTCTGAACTGTATCTGCCTTTATGGTTCCTGCTCTCCACTCTGCACCCCTACTCTGAGAACAAGCACAGAGACTTACTTAATAGAGGCACAAGGCCCCGTTATAGCCTAGGCAGTATTCATCGTGTCCACTATCCTTTTTTTTTTTTCCCAGAGCTGAGGAATGAACCCAGGGCCTTGCGCTTGCTAGACAAACGCTCAACCACTGAGCTAAATCCCCAACCCCGGTGTCTGCTATTCTTACCGGTTAGCAGCAAACTTGTTTGAAATGAAGCCACCAGGAATCTGTGTCACAATATAACCCCAGAAGAAAGATCCATGGATAAGGCCCACCGTCTCTGGGTCCCAGTTAAACTGCGCCGTCTGAAAACAAGAAGCAGACGCAGTTGTGTTTGCAAGGGACAACTGATACCATTTGTCACCATGTGACAGCATGTGGGGTCTTCCTTTTTGCGAGGATATTTCTGGAAGACGTCTTGACTGCTTGGGGTACAGCAGTGGGAATATGAAGCAAAGGGTCCCTGGTCTTACACATTTACCTTCTAGTGAGAGGGAAGAGATGCACAAATTTAAGTACCTACCCACACGTGTGTAAAATGTGACATACCAAATAGCCATGTGTGCTAAGGAGAAAATAAAACAGTTTGTGAAGGAAACAAGAAACACGTTCTGGAGTTACCATGTGATTTATTGGGTTGTTCAGATGCCAGTGGGCTGACAACCTAACAGTAACTACACTCTTAGATCTCTCAAGTCCTTTTATTCTTTTTGTCTTTTTAATATTTTTAAGAGCTACAGATGTATTTTAGTGGTTAAAGCACTCAATTTCCAAAAATGGAAAAAAAAAGTTATCATTGTATTGTCAAATGTATTTTGCTGGGGATGTAGGTCAGTGGTAAAGTAACTACCTTGCTGTGTGAGGCCCTAGATTTAATCCCCAGGATAAATAATAAACAAACAAATACTTCTTTTTGTCATTGTTTTAAGACAGGGTCTCATTATGTAACTCAGGATGGCCTCAAACTTGTGATCCCCCAGCCTCAGCCTCATGATTTCTGGGGTTGCAGATATGCACCACCATGCCTGGATGAGTCTCAATTCTACCGGCTGTTAACTGTCCATGACACTATCTCCTTGTCACACTTTTCTCGCTGAGCAGATGGTATTTCTGGTCTGTGAAAGGAATGATACCTATCAAAGAGCGGGGACTTGCTGAGAAGTAACTTTAAGCATCACTTAAGTCCCCCTGAATAATAAGGGCCAAATAAGAACTCGAACACTTTACTAAGACAAGCAAATGGCCAATAGCCATAAAGATAACCATTGGGAATTGGTAAATATCACTAATCTTCAGGGAAATACAATTATCTCATCATATTTGTTAGGATGGTTTATATATCCCCACACTGAGGTGTGTGTGTGTGTGTGTGTGTGTGTGTGTGTGTGTGTGTGTGTGTGGAGGCAAAGGAGAATTGGTGAGGATGTGAAGAAACCGGAATGTTCTGTGCTGCTGATGGGAATGTGGGATGGTGCAATCATTCATAAAACAGTATAGAATTTCCCCACAAACTTAAAAACCAAAATAAAAATGTGACTCAACATTTATGCTTTGGAGTATTTATCCAAAAGGTATCAGTACTCTCATGTTCACAATATCTGAGCTATGGAAACAATCTGGATACCCACTGACAAATAAATTTGAACCATGTGGCATGTGCTTTCAATGGAAAGAGGACATGATGTAATATTCAACAGCCTGGGTGGAACTGGAAGACGATGTCAAAGGAAATAAGCCAGACATATAAAGAGAAATCCTGGATGATTCCACCTACATGAAGTATCCGAAATAGCCAAATTAATAGAATTAAAGGGGGAATAGTGATTTTTCAGAGACCGGGGGTAGGGAAATGGAGAGTTATCAATCAATGGATAAAGTATTTCCCTCAAGCCAGTGAATAAGCTTTGGAGATCAACACTATACCTACAGTCAATGAGAATGCCTTGTACACTTAAATTTTTATCAAGAGGGCTGCTCTCATTTGGACCAGCTCACACAGGCCTACAGTCACAGCCACTGAGGAGGCTGAAGCAGGGGGATCAAGCTTAAGACCTACTTGGACTACAGAGTGAATTCAAGGCTAGCCTAGGCAACTTAGTGAGAACCTGTCTCCAGTGAAGAATAAAGTAATGGTGGGAACTATATATAGCTTAGAGGTTCTTTCTTAGTTCTTTCTCTACCCAAAAAGCCCTGCCACCTGAAAATGCAACTCTATTTGGAAACTAGGTCTTTGCAAGTCTGAAAAGGTTGAGGGTCTTGAAATGAGAGAGCCAGAGTTATCCAGCTGAACCCTTAATCTAAAGACAAGTGTCCTAAAAAGGGGGGAGACCGAGGGAAATGGGAGCCCAAAGAGAAGTCACATTGGGGAGGGGGCTCTGGAGATGAAGGCAGTGACGGGGTGATTCCGTCATATGCCCGGGTGCTCCTGCCACGGCCAGAGATGGCAGAGTCAAGGAGATACTCTCTGCAAGGGGTAAGAGAGACAGGAGCTCCTGCCAATCCTTTGACTTCCGACTTCTGGTCTCCCCACAACTATGAGAGAATAAATGTGTGTTGTTTTAAGATACCAAGTTGCGGTGATGATTGTCCTAGGAAGCTCACAGAGGTGCTTAATAGAAATAATCTTATTGATTTATTTTTTAAATTTATTTATTTATTATGTATACAGTGTTCTGCCTGCATATGTGCCTGTAGGCCAGAAGAGGGCACCAGACCTCATTACAGATGGTTGTGAGCCACCATGTGGTTGCTGGGAATTGAACTCAAGACCTTTAGAAGAGCAGCCAGTGCTCTTAACCGCTGAGCCATCTCTCCAGCCCATCTTATTGATTTATAAACAGTCCTTTTCATTCCATTACAATAAGGGCCGTGAGGGCTAGCAAAAGATCGCCAGGAGTGCTGTTTTGTGTTTCCCTGTTTACCCTCCTTCCGAGGGCGTTCTGTTTCCCTGGCCATAGGATACTTCCTTTCTGCCTGTGGCAGCTGATGGACACCAGAAGAGAGAGCCAAACCACGGGATCAAGGGTTCAGTTGTGGGGACAGAGAGAAGCCAGGTAAAAAAACAGGAGGTAGTCTGTGAGGAGACATGGGAAACTGGAGCAGACTGGGATAGGCAGTTGAGAGAGCCTGTGAGGCGCACAAGCTAGAGACCTTAGCAAAGAACTTTCCAGTTTTCCCCTGAGGCAAAACAGTCTACATCTCCCACGGTGGTTATGTTCTTCTCAAAAATTACCCAAAGATGCCTTTCCTCCCTTGGGAGAGGGCATGCTGAACCTCAGTTCCCGGCCCCCAAGATGGATCACCCACACCAGCTTCCACAGCCGACCTGCTTTCTGCACTTTACAGGATTCCTCTGGAGTCTTCTGCAATCCTCTCGTCAATCTGAGTCACTCTCACTGAGCTTCTAGTCTCTGTGACCAGCATTCCCTGACCAGGGCACAAGGACATCTTCTCCAAGGCCCAAGAGCTAATGAGCAATGAAGTCTGAAAGCGGCCCTGAGGAGAAGTCCATCACTGAAACCCTAAAGACTCCTGAGTAATGAGAAAGTTGCAAAGTTTCTCAGTCTCCAGTTGCTTTTTGCTCAACATATGCCAGAGACAGTAACTACGAATGCTTTAACTTATAAATTTTCGGGGAAGGAGTGCCAAGGGTTGAACCCAGGGCTTCACCTACACTAAGCACATGCTCTGCCTCTGAGCTGCGACATCACAGCAACTCACGACGGTAGACTAAAATGTCACTATCCACACATCAGCTAAATCATCCCATGTGACAATTGTAGAAAGCATGCCACGGACGTATTTGAAAGACTTAACCTGTTCACGGCGCTTACCCTGCCCCACAAATGAGGCTTCCAAAACTATCTGTGGAAAATACCTAAACACCGAAACAGAAACGCCAGCCATTTCTGACTGATACCTAACTTGTGCTGTGTGGACAAGAGAACAGCCTGCCATAAATTGATGTTGCTTGCTAGAGTGTGATCAATTGTTGTTGTTTGTTTGGGGTGCGGTTTTTATTCTCATTATTAAGGGGGTGGTTATTGTTTGGGGTCCTATGTGGGCACCAGATTTTTCCTTTTTTCCCTCTCTTTCATTGGTTTTGGGTTTTTTGTTTGTTTGTTTTGAAACAGGGTCTTGTTATATAACCTAGTTTGTCTTTGAACTCACTATTTAACTGAAGCTGGCCTTGAACTCAACCCTGTCCCCCTGCCTCAGTCTCCTGAGTACTTAGATTGTAGGCATAAGCCACCATGCCTAGTTCCTAAACTCCTGCTCTTGATGCCAGACAGAATGATATGAAGCGTATTTTAGATCTCGATCAGACCCTCTAGGCGACATCACAGAAACTGGAGGGCCCACGTGAGCATTGCTCCTTCATGTGATCAAAATGTCTTCTCTCTGCCCTAATTTCTCAGACTCTATTGACCCATTGGCTTTTCAGGTAACAGACGCAAACTGCATGCCGTTTGTGCTGCAGCAGGCAAGTTCTAATCAGCCAGCCTTGCTCTGAAAAGGCTGAAAGAATGCATGTGATACACATCTGAAATCCCACCAACAGTCCTTTTTTTAAATGCATTGAATGTTTCTCTCCCTTGTCTCACCTCCTCACTCCACCACCATCCCCCCAAATAAACAGGCTATCTTTTTCAGACAGACACAGATGAGGCATCAAAAGCAGACTAAAGCATCTCCATGGCGCTGCTTTGCTCTGGCAGAAAATCTCTGAGAAAGAAAGAGGAAAGTCTGCAGGCCGGCTAAAGACCTCTTTTTCACGAACTGACATCCAATTTCCCCAAGCCAGTCCTTGGCAGGAGACTGTTCTGGGTGATGCTAACAGATGTGACATCAAAGAGAAGACTGCCATGTTGTCAGCTGAGGAAACAGTACCTCCCATGTCCCTCCCTCAGAGTCACACAGCACTCAGAAACAGTCCAGGCTTCATGCTGCACAATGTCTTCTTACTACGAAACCATGTAAGCAACACATGGCTTCCCAGACACCAAAGTGGGAAACCCGGATCTCAGCATGCATCCAAACCAGACATCCAGAGAACCACCAGGTGTCTCTCCGAGAAGGGCCAGTCTCTACCACAGTCACTTCATGCCCGTGTTCAATTCAGTGAAGCAGGCAGTTACGGGGCTGTCTACAGGGACATTTATTCATGCTATAATTTATGAGGCCTACCTAGGTTAAAATAAAACTAGATTTATGTTTCTAGTATTCATTAAAAAAAATCAGTTTATTAAATAACATCGGTGCTTCAACACATCACCACCAGCCCGAGAACTTTTACCAGGCCTCTTTCCATTGGGCAGTAATCATTCTGAGATCTGTGGAGGAATCCAGTGTATCCGTGAACTCAGATGGGGAAAAGCCCAGGTTTTTTTTTTTTTTTTTTCCAAACTTAGTATATAATATTTTTATTAAGAGTTTGTTTTTATGAAAATATTTTGCAAAACAATTTCTTGATTTGTATAGTATCTGGGGTAAAACTTTGGAATAGAATGCTCTGGGATGAGTTGCTTTGGTTTGAGTTTCTAGAACATTCCATATCCCTGGAATTCCACGTAATGCAGCGAAGTTGCAGTCAAGTGTTCTAGTAAACCACAGAACAGTCAGTACTTTTATCTTCGCTACCTGCTGACTGAAATTTAGAATTTCTGAAAATATAAACACAAGTTAAAAACCTGGTAAAATCAGTCCCATTACTGTGTCCTGAGTGACAGCCAGAAACATGTTCAAATTATAGTATAGTTGTTGCCATGATCACAAAGTGCAGTTTATACTTCAATTAAAATTATAGCAATTTCGGAAACTTTGCTAGATTTTGCATTCAGATGTACTGGTAAGAAAGCCCATGATTCTATATCATAAATTTAAATATGTTCTTCTGCATTTTAATATAATCACCTCCCTTTATGATCCTTTGTCTACTATGCTAAGAATTTCAAACATTATCTTTGATCAAAGGTTCATCAGGTTGTTCACAGGATTCAAAGGGGTTTATAGCACAGAAAAGTGAGGGTCACATGTCTCAGTTCCTAACACACCATGATTCGTCTGTCTGTCTCCCTTATCCTTTACATACAGTGTTCCTTTTTCTTCAAACATCCTTCTTCCTACCCCACCAAATCTGTGTCTGGTTCTGCCATCACTTTCTCTGGAAAGTCACAACACCAAAATCTTGGTATGCTCACTCCTACAGGAGCCCAAGAATCTAGTGAGGCCATATTGACCTAGTAAGTGGCACACCAAATTGTCACATATACTTACATATGTCTCCTGGAGTCCAAGGTCCCTGTTGGTGTCATTAAGCATTCTTTCCCTGTCACCATGTCCAGGGCCCAGTATGAGGTTGTCACTCTATATGTTTGTTACATCAATTAATGAATTGCTGTCTTTGCTTTTACACAACTATCACACACACACACACACACACACACACACACACACACACACACACACACACACACACCCTCCTGCTTTAGCTCCATACTGACCTGAATTTCTGGTTTCCCATCCACATACACAGTGCTATTGTTGACCATTTCCACGATGGCCACTCCAAGGTTGCACCGAATCCCGAAGGAAATGCAGAATCCCAGCCCACTCATGATGGCGATGATGTACCGCTTGGGGATGCCACAGCAGCTGCAGTCACAGACTGGGAGACGTGGCCTGGATGTCTGCACGGGCCTTCCTTCTTCATCCAGCTCAATGTTATCTTCTTCTTCATTGGTCCCATCGATTTTTCTGCATCACACAAAGAATAGAGAGAGAATAAGAGCCAGTGTTCAAGGTGAGGGAGAATGCACAAAGTAAAAATAAAAATGGGGCCAAGGAACAAACGGAAGAACCCCACAGAAGTGTGCAGCTTGTATTTTAAAAGTTGTTACCATCATCGTTATTATTAAAGGAGAGAATAATGGCTAAAATGACTAATGTTCTGGATATTGCATTGGGCTTTCATGGCACCAAATCATCCAGACCTGCTGGGGTTGGCCGTGTGCCCCTGTCATCTCAGCATGGGGCAGTGGGGACAAGGGGGTCTCAAGTGCAAGCCTGAGGAACGTAGCAAGTCTGATTGCAGCCTGGACTGCAGAGTGAGGCCTTATAGAAAGAAGAAAAAAAAAAGTCTTTTACATTTCATTAAAACACAATGAGGTAGAGTACCCTTGTGGCATTTATAGAGGAGGAAATCTCACTTGAGGAGGCTTTCAAGCCCAGATTTCAAATTCTGTGTCCTTAACAATATGACACCATGAATTCCTGCTGAAAGAAAAATGGGACCACATGGCATGACCCAACCATTTGGGTCACAAAACCTTTATTTGAAGGTCACATAAACTTGTTAAGATGACATACAGAAAAAAAGCCACTTGCAGATTATTTTCACTGACTTCTATAGGCTCAAGGGATGGCATGTCCTTATAACTAATTACTGTGTTCTAAAGCAGTGGTTCTCAACCTGTGGGTTGTGACCGGTCACATATCAGATATTTATATTATGATTCATCACAGTAGCAAAATTACAGATATGAAGCATCAGTGAAAATAACTTTATGGTTGGGGGGGGGGGTCACACATGACATGAGGAACCATTTTAAAGGGCTGTAGCTTTAGGAAGGCTGAGAACCACCGGTCTAAAGCAATAAAAGTAATTGAGCAAACAACACTATCAATTATGAAAGGAGAGTTGTTTGCGAACTGAGGAGATGGTTCAGTTGGTAAAGTGTTTGCCATACAAGCACGAGGAGACAAGTGTGGGTCCCCAGCAGCCACATAAAAACCTAGACTCTCTAGAGCACGTCTGTAATCCCATTGCTGAGGTAGGAGGTAAAGGCAGCGTAGACAACCTGATGAGTTCCAGGTTCAGCAAAGACTCTACCTCAAAAATAAAGTGGAAGGCAGACAAGGAAGCTCAGAAGGGGAAAGTTCTCTCTCTCTCTCTCTCTCTCTCTCTCTCTCTCTCTCTCTCTCTCTCTCTCTCTCTCTTCTCCTCTCTCTAACAATGATATTTATAAACAAACACAATAAAGAATAAAGTGCATAGTTATTAAAGAAGACACTCAAAATCAACCTGACCTCCACTCTCGCGCACACACACACACACACACACACACACACACACACACACACACGTGGATACACACATACAACACAAGAAGAGCTATTTATAACCTGTGATGCTATAATCCTTCTGAGTGTGATTCTCAGTTTTCATCAATTAATATAAGTAGCTAATATAATTAGTAACAAAATAGTTAATTTCCCAAACAAAAGTTCCCTTTCCGCACTGATTCATACAGGAGATAATTTTCACAGCTTCTTTTGCTGAGATTCGAAGCACATATACGGAAGAAAAACAAACCATCCTTGGATTCAAATCAGCACAGCAGACATTTACTAGGCGCCTACTGCATGCCGGGGACTGTGCTGCTGGCGCAGAATAGCGATGAACGTGCCCTGTTCCTCACTCTCCTCCCGAATTTACGCTGGTAGGGAAGGAAGACACACACGTACGCAGTGATAGTCACTGGGTGACACACTGTAGTGTGATCTGAAGGTTTCCATAACCTGGCCCCCTCCCTTTCTGTCCACAGACAGCACATGGTCTGAATGCTCCCCAGACACCCCGACTCCCTCCTCAATTTCCCTCAACACGCATCTCCCATGTCTAGTCCTGTCTTACAGTCTACTTCCTGGAAGACCCCAACGAGTATGCGCATCCTCTTGTACATGGTACCTGCTAAGATATCCCTCCCAAGGAGCCACACAACAGTATGGAGGGCACGGAAGTAATTCAAATGGTCAAAAAGGGGTAAGGATCCCCAACGGAAAAAAGGGTGGTCTCTTTGAGTAGCAGGACCCAGAGCTGCCTGACCTGAAGCCACCTCCTTATAACACAGCCCAGGCATAGACTGGGTGTCTAGATCTAGGAGGACACTGAGCACTGGGCCGAGTCTCCCTTGTGAAAAGTGATAGCTGAGCCGCCACTTTAAGAGACCATAGAGTCAGAAGCAAATGTAGATCCTAGAGCGACAAATGTAGATCCTAGAGCGACCTCCTGATCTGTCTGTGAGTCATTTGCTCAGCCTGGATGGTGGTGGGAAGACATCAAACTGATGAGGATTTAATTTTTACCAAGTAAGGGCTAAAAATCAGATTGACTTGTTTCAAAAATATTTTTTAAAAAAATAGTGGGAAGGTGTAGCATAGTGAAAGAGTTCTTGCCTGGTATGCATAAAACTGTGGGTTTCGTTCTCCATGCTACCAAAAACAAAAGCATACCAATGATAAAGTTAAAAAATAAATTATACCAGGCCTAGTGAAACTTACCTTTAATCTCAGGACTCTGGAGACAGAGAGAGGTATATTTCAGTGAGTTCAAAGCCAGCCTGGGTCTACATAGTGAGTTCCTCAACAGCAAGAGCTACGTAGTATAACCCAGTCTCAGAAATAAAATAAATTACTGGGGTTTTGCTGTGTTTTGTTGTTGGTTTAGCTTGGTGTTTTTATATAGGCAAGCTCAAAGAGGAAGACTGAGAGACAAATCACCAGATAACCAGACAACCTACATGTGATGCCTCACCGTGTGACTTTAGGCAGGTACCTTGGCTATTATGAATCTCCCATTTCTTCTTCTGTATAATAAATATAATATGTTAGCCAGGCAGTGGTAGCCCATGCCTTTATTCCCAGCACTCAGGAGGCAGAGTCAGGAGGATCTCGATGAGTTTGAGGCCAGCCTGGTCTACAGAGCGAGATCCAGGACAGGCACCAAAATTACACAGAGAAATCCTGTCTCAAAAAAACATATATATATATATATATATATATATATATATATATATGTGTGTGTGTGTGTGTGTGTGTGTGTGTGTGTGTGTGTGTATGTGTATATATATGTATATGTATATATACACATATATATAATACACATATATATGTATGTATATAATATGTTACAGAACTGTTAGTATTTTACACTACAAAGGATAAGACATTACAGCCAGTAAAGGAGTAAACATTGACTAAATGAGAGGAGGTTCTGTGCCATCCTTAGTATTTCACATGTTGCTCTGGCTTCTGCTTCGTTCATTTTGTGCTAAGCACATTCTCTGCATCACCTGCCACTGTAAGGTTTTACAATCCTTTGTCTGAATGCTTGCTACATCAATTTAGAGAGTTTTTGCTTTCTTCCATATAGGAGGTGGAGAGTAAATATTCCACATCATGCATGTGTGCATGAATGAATGAAGACCTGCCCCACCTGGTGGGTTGTGAGCATGCAGAGGGCAGGAGTCATCTCCTTGTCTTTAGTTCCACAGTTCCTGGAGACAATGAATCCTCCTTCAACAGAGTGGAATTGGGGGTTAGCCCCCATCACTCCAGACTTGCAGCCCTTAGAGACACAGGATGAAAAATCTATTCATTCCTGCCCCCAAATAATCTCTATAGGAAGGATGGGGGTACATTTGGTCAAGAATAAGGAAAAACAAGAATTCCATTCTTAAGGAATAGAGGGTTTTAATTATCCATAATAGCTGTTTCCACCGCTCGGGTTTCTCTCCGTCTTTGCCTATGGTCCTTCTTTTAGATTAGAGAGTCTTCATTCTTCCCAGGAGGACAGCCAGCATTGTTGTTTCTCCAAATATAGAAAACTGCAGACGGGGCTGGGGCCCTTTATGCGCTAGGGAGGTTCCTTCCATTGTTCTCGTGTGCAATTGTCCAGTAAGCATCTAAGCCCTGGGGTCTGACTGCTCAAGATATTCTGACCAGCCTTCGAGCATTTTCAGAACAGTTAACTTGTCAGTGAGTCCAAATGTTCTGTGGAGTGTGAAGAAGGTTTTGCACTTGGGAGGAAATTGCTCAATATCAATCACACACACTGAGTAGAGCACACAGATCACTTAACGAGTGTTTAAATTCCACTCACTTACCAGTTTGGGGCAAGTATTTCTGGTGAGATCCCAAGTAAGAGAAGGGTAAGTCCTCTCAAGACTGTGTTGTGGACTAAAGGAATGTATACACACACACACACACACACACACACACACACACACACACGTGTATATATATAGTTATTGTTTGGATGTAAAATGTTCTCCGCAGGCTCATGTGCTCAAATACTTGATCCCTGGATGTCAGTGTTATCTGGGGAAGTTGAGGAACCTTTAGAAGGTCCAGTTGGAGTAAGAGACTCACCAAGTGGCCTAAATCTTGCAGTCTAGAACCCAGCCCTGCTTCCTGATCTACCCAGATGTGACCAAGCAGCCTCATACTCCGACCTCGACGGCTACAATCCACTCCGGCCACCATGCCTTCCCCACCATGTACCTTCAAGCCGGGAGCCAAAGAAGACCTCTCCTCCCTTTAAATTGCTTTTTGGAGGGTATTTGGTGACAGCGATAATCCAATCAGCAAGACGTATACTTTAAAAATAAAAGTTCACAGGTGCCTGGAAGGGGAGTGGCGGCCAGTGCCTTCAACTTCCTCTGTCTCAGGGAATAGCCAGCCACTCACTGAGCACATGGGAAAAACAAACAAACAACCAACAATAACAGTTCTGGGGCAAACATGTCTCTGCAAGAGGGCAAATAACACTGATTGGTAGGACAGCCAGGACAAAACGCCGCAGAAGGGGGACTTCAACAAGTGCATTTTGTCACAGCTCCGGAAGCTGCAGGTCCAAGGTTAAGGTTTGGGCCAGCCTGGTCTCTTCTGTGTCCCCTGCTTTGGCTTGCAGATGG